TCTCGGTCCTACCTGACACTGTATTGTCAGAGCTGTGCATGTCTTTTATAATTCTCATAGGGTCTTCCTTTATATCTGAGGATAGCGCTCGCTCATGGTTTGGTTTTGCTACTGTGCTGTTTGCGACATCCAGGTTTGCTACAGTCTTGGTGGTCTCTGATGAGTCAAAAGTAAGGGTTCTGGTTATCTTTGGAATCTCTGATTCTTTCTTCAAATCTACACCAGCAGCTTTGCCTGCTTTACTTTTCAAAGCCATGGGAGATTGAGCTGCATTGTGGATAACCTTGCTTCCTCCTTTGGATTGTTTAGTGGAGATTACAGGTTCTGACTGACGAGGGGTTTTAGACAACTTCAGAGGCTGTTTTCCCTTTACTTTCTCCATCTTTTCCTTGTTGACTTTGTCATCCATGTCTTCAGGTTGTTTCTTGTCCTTGCCATTACAGTTTTTCTCATCCCTTTCATCCTTTCTTGGGTTTTTGGTTATTTTGGGAAATGTAGAGTTTTCTCTGTGGTCTTTTTGGATCTTAGAATTTAGCTCGTCCAAAAATCTAAATGCACAGAGAAAGGCAGGTTAGTAATTCTAATTTAGTGGCTACTCACCAGCCCAAATGTTAATTTTCAAATCCCGCTATCGGTGCTGTTCTTGCTCACATGTATTTCAAGGTGTACCAGCATCAAGAGTATCTAAAACAAAGTGGTACCTGATGTGGAAGGAGTCTTGTGTAAAGAGTGGATGCTCTAACAGCTCTGAACACTGAGCCCGTCTTTCTGGATCTACGTGTAGACACTTCTGAGAAGAAGAGAGAAAAAGAAACCAAACATATTATTGATTTGTTCAACCCTGAAACTGACACAAAAAGACATAAATACTTTCAGAAGTCCAACAGTTATCAAGCAAGAAATAAAGATGCATGTGAAGGCCACAGATGCTGGCATTCACATGTCTCCAAGTTTTTCTAAATAATTTTCTTTTCCTGTAAACCCACACACAGCTTTTTAGTTGTCACATTCCATTAACTGATACATCCACAATATGCTACAGCTACTGAAAAGACCACATGAACAAAATTTTAAAAAAGAAAGTATTTTTATATGCTGAGATTAAAATAAACTGTACCTGAGCCAGATCCAGGCTAATAGGTGTGATTGTAGGGAAACGCTGCTGGAGAGTGAGTCTGTCAGAACTTTGGGGCAGTGTAACTCCAGAAAATACAGGATTTCTGTAGAACAGCTCCTGGTGATGAGTTTTAAGGTTACCTATAGCAGAAAAAAGAGAGTGCAGTTAGCATGGGGAAGAGGAAAGACAATGTGCTAACGCTGTGTGAAGAGCTTACCAAAGCACCGGATGATCTGATATATTTGATCAAGGTCCGAGTCTCCAGGAAACAGAGGCTGACCTGTTAACATCTCTAATAATACACACCCCAAAGCCCACACATCTACAGGTCTACACACACAAACACACAAATATGTTAAAATTTCTAATCAACAAACACCCTATAGCACAGGTAATTTGAGCAAGGTTAGTACACAGATACTTACTTGCCATACTTAATGTCTCCCACCAGCAGTTCGGGGGCTCTGTACCATCGAGTGGCCACATAGTCAGTGAGGACGCTGCCCTCACTGATCGATGCAACAGTGCGGGCAAAGCCAAAATCACACAGCTTAACCACACTGTCCTGAGAGATGAGGATGTTCTCTGGTTTGATGTCACGGTGGATGATCTGGAAATGAAAAGAACGAACCAGCATCATGTGGTATATTGCTCATTGAAAGCCTGCTAGGAGTAACCCTTCAAGCTTTTTTGTGATTGGTTTTTCTCATGTTTCAGGGCTGCTTATAGAACAATCAGAAGTTAGTGTGGGTGTTCTCTTGCTATACAGTTAACTTATGAATAATTAATCATATGTCCTCACATTTTGCTGATGGCAGAAGGCAGCAGCCCTTAGGATCTGGTACAGGTACTGTCGGCATGTGTTTATCTCCAGTCCGCTTGGGTTTTGCTCCAGATCGTCCAGAAGTGTCCGTTCCACAAACTCAAATACCAGATACCAGCGGCGGCGGCGCTTCCACACTTCTAGGAGGTTCACCAGGTTTTCGTGTCGCAGTTGCTTGAAGTTTATAAAGATAAGGGTGGTTACTCTGTGAATGCATACCGTACTGAGTCTATCATTGATGGTATCAGTGCTTTTGGGTCACCGAAGCTGCACAGGCCCAGCAAATCAAGGACCTTGACTTTTTCATGATATTCAAATGTTTTGAGATACACTTGTTGACAAAAAAAACTTTTAGAAATAAGGACTGATTCATTTCCTTTCACTGTGACTTTCTTAAAGTAGACAAACAACCCTCTCATCCACCATAGGTGTTGTATACTAATTTATATAACCTGTAAGTCCAATGTCAGATTACTGTAAAGTTATTAAACTATTCATGGTCAAGTCAACACTAATATTTAGTGGATATATTCAAATTTTCCCTTTAGATTACAATAATCTGTTGGGTTGCTCTCACACATCATCTCATAGTGACTTTTAAACTTAAGGTAAGAAACTGACACAGTTATTTTAGGGTTGTTTGTCTCTTGGTTGTTATTGTAAATGTCTTCATTCAGGTTTTACTTAATGACTGACTAATGAGTGGTAGGCTGATGGATTAATTGACATTTACCCTGAGTAGCTTGATCTCCCTGTGAGCAATCTTCTTCACTGTCTTGTCATCATCAGAGTCCATGAATTTCTTGATGGCGACAATGCGACCAGTATCACGATGACGGCACTTAAGCACGGTGCCGTAACTGCCCTCTCC